CTCGCAAAAGGGGGGAAGCTGAAAGGCAGAGAGCTTGATCCTTTACGTGCCACATTGCAAGTCAGTTGGGCAGAGCCAGCCCTGTGATTCAAGGGTTCCTGGCTCTTGGCCTGTTGCTTAGTCCATAAGCACCAGGCTGGTGTAGTAAGTTGTCCTGCTTCAACAAAATATCCTGGATAGTCACGTAAATGTTTCAGGAGAGACCATGAAAAGTGGGTAGTTACCAGCTGCAGTCGCTAAATCCAGAGATTTTGTGTGCAAAATCGCAAGGAAATTGTGGAGAACCACCCCTCTCTAGAAATACCAGCTCTTCTCTGTGGTGAGGCTACGCATGGGTTTGAGGTCCTTGGTAGGCCCCATTTTCAAAGATACTGAACACCTGCATCTCCTGTTGTTTGCAGCTGAAGTTCTGATGGCTTTGATAAAATACCAACTTCCATGTCCCCAGGATGCTCTTAGTATTAATGGAAGCTGTGCGGTGGTTTGGGTAACCTTTTTGTACACCTAATGGCTTTTTTGAGTACACATGACATGCCTTAAGAAGTGATACTTCATTCTCCTTGGAAGAGATGAATGCTTGTTTTCAAGGTCAGGAATTACATGTGTGTGGCACTTTGCAGTTCACAATGCTCTTAAGTTATTATTTTATAAATTTCCATGACAGGTCTGTGCTGAGTGCACAGGACTTGGACCAACTCTATGCAACTGTTGAAAATTAAAGATAGATTTCTGTTTTTTTTTCTCTTCACTCCCAAGAAATTACAATGCTAATATCGATCCTATTTCACCACTTTGTCACAGCCTAAATATTTTCAATGTGGCAATGGCCTTTGAACAGCATCTTTGTAAGTTTCAACACGAAAATTAGGCCTACTTTGCAGTCTGCAATTGAAGTGGAGGTGAAATGAACAAGACCCTGTGAGTCTTTATTTTTTCCCTAAGTTTATTGAGAATTGAAAGCCAATGTTGTGCTCCATCTAACCTTTGTCTAATAGCCTAGCCATTGAAAGAAAGCAGTGCTGCATTCAAGTTTGATTAATTGCAATAGTTTTTTTTTTTAAAGGGAGTTCAATATTGAACCACTAAATGAGGGGCGGGCAAAATAAGGCCTGCGGGCCACATATGGCCCTTCAGGTAATTTCATCTGGCCCACAGGCATCCACTAACTAATTGTACCCATCTCAGCCCATGTGCCTTGTTCCCACCCTTGTGGGTGGAAGGGCCTGGCCCAGCCAGCACACAGCTGCTGCCACTGCTGCAGCCACCAGGCAATCTGCTTGACTTCGCTGACATCCTGCTTGCTCTGAGCACCAGCTACGGAAGCGGTGGGGGCAGGGGGAGCTACAGCTGGTTGGGAG